GCCAACTGAGAATAGGTAACAATACAGGCATGATAGAAGTTTTTCAATTGTTTTATCAACTGACTTACGTATAAAATTCCACTCACCCACGGTTGGGTCTTAATGCTTGGTTCAATCCAGTCTTGTTTCTACTATTCTAGTCATTTTAAATTCAATTATACTATTTAAATTGCGTATCTCCTCCTACAATTATTGGGATTTATCTTTCAACGACTGACATCTGCTACATTGGGAAAAATATACGGAAATAAATGTATAACAAATGGGTACCCATAATAAATACTGTTCTGCATATTCAATACAGTTTGGCATGTTATCACCTCTACTAAAAGCTGCACAAACACCAGAGTGTGCGAGAGCAAAGACGATGTCACGTGCAGAAACTATCTCAATGACCTTTGTCCTTTTCATCAGAAAAGGCAATATGGCCGAAGAATGCCCCTTGGGATCATGAGTATCATATTGCTCCTGAAGCAGAAATTAACTAATTAGATACCCAAAAAAAAGAAACACAGCATGTCATTGATAACCACCATGATATGCTTGACATATCAAGTAAGGATTACCGTGAATATCAACTTTACTGTTTTGACAGTAAAAGAAAAAAATGTTGGGTCATAAGTTGGAGACATTTGTTAGAGTGACCGTCATACCCCCCACGTGCTGTTACCAATTCACTTATGTTATACCACACTATTTATTTACCAACACTATGCCCTAGGTCCCTAATATATGAACCCCTTCACCCACCCATATCATAACACATGGATTAGCAACATCACGTGACTGCCACACAAAAAATTATTCCATAACTTGAGCTTCTAATGCTCCGTAATACGCGGAGTAGACAATTAATGAATTCATTTCCCATTGCAAAGTTCTCAGAGGGACAAATTTAGTAGGTAATTTAATTAATAAGACCACAAGATTTACTCTAAGGCCAACTTCAGCAGAATCTACAGAAACAAACCCTAGACAATAAAAAAGTACAGAAACCAAGACGACAGCGAAATATCAAACATGGTCACTGAACCCCAATTCAAAACATCTCTATAATGTCAAAAATGGCCACTGAACCCCAATTCAATTTCAAGTTTCAAGTATCTTACTTTGCTTAAAAGAATTGTTCTACGTTGAATCCCCAGCAAAAAATCAAACAGAAATAAATAACCCAACAATATAAACAAATTTCAGGTGAAAAAATTGAAAATTTTCAATTGCATTGGATTAATAATAGCAAGAGGAAATTAAATAAATGAGAAGAAAACGAACCACGAGGTGCATGTTGCGGAACCTCTCCTGGGAATTGCTCATCCCAAAAGCCCGATCACGCTTCGAAGAAATCTCACGCCTCTGAAGCTTCTTCACGCTGTTAACGAACCCATCGGAACCACCCCTCCTCTTCTTCGCCACCACTCGCCGCCCCGAGCACGGCCGAGGACTCGCCGATATCCTCCTTCCCACTTCCATTCTCAACCCTCAGATTCTGGTTCATACACCACCCAACATATATTCGAATTCAAATTCAAATTCAAATATTTTATATATATTATACATATACACACACCCAATATCCTCCCTTCAATATAGATGAAATCGAAGCCTTTTGGATCACAACAATTCCCCAAGAACCCTAATTTTGTCCATCATCTGGAGAGCGCTTGTGAGACGGGTTGAAAATAGGGAGAGCTTTGATAAAGCGTACGAGAACCAGTAATTAGAGATAGAGGGAGAGAATTATATATTAATATAATCAGAATAAAATAGCAGACGATAATTATCAATAAATAAATAAAAATGGAAAAAGATGGGCACGTTCCAGATATGTAATTACAATTAAATAAATTATTAATTTCTATTTCCAGATTTTCTGAAATTTTAGAGAAATTTTTAGGTATGACAGGAATACGAATAGTACATCATGTGTTTTTATGTAAATGGTGGAAAGTTTTAATTTTTAAGTTATTAACCTTTTAACATACATAACTCATTATTTCTATAAAAAAACATGCTATACCATCTTGTGTGACAATCATACTGAAAAATCTCTCAAAATTTTGAATGTGGCCCGCCAATGCGACACGCCAAATGCTAAGCCCTACCATCATTCTTTTGGGTTTTTTTTTTCTTTATTTATTTATTTTTTTTTTTTACAAACAATCGATAATTTACTCTAAATGATTCTATGTTGCGGGAAGAGTTTAAATACGGAAAGTAAATAGATTTTTTTTATCTTTAATGTCAAAGGACGTAGTAGAATTAAAATTACTAAGGTCTTGTTTGCGCATTCCTATTCGACATCAAATAGTACTATTTAATAATATTTGGTGTTTGGTTTTATTTCGTATTAAATTAGTACTGAATTATTTATGGGGTCCCGCCTATTTTATATGATGCGTGCCCGACAATTTATACGCTCCAAATCGTCGATATTATTAGTCGGGTCGTTGGAAACAACATCAAGCTGACTGTTTTTCTGTCTCTCCCTTGCTAATTACTCCAACGCCTTCCCAATCCATCTTCTCAACCAATATTCCTTCTCTCTCTCGACAAAGAAGGAACCAGGGTTTGGAGTGTGCGACTGTATATGGTTGATAGGGATGGGGATTGGGTGGTGGAATAAGTTGGAATTGGGGCTAATTGATGAACAGGCCATCGACCTGTATTTGCAGATGCTCATGGTGAACATCCATGGTGGCAACGTTTTTGTTTGGATCAGAGGTGGTAGTTTTTAGTTTTTTCCCATCAAATCAACGGGCTCTAATACCAAATTTGGTTTTAAATTGTAAAACTCAGTGCCATAAATGTTCTTCAATCTTCTTTTGAGGAAATAAATGAACATGATAATCTTTGATTCTTTGTGCATCAGCAACTTTTATTAATAGGAGGAAGAATAATGGACAAAAACCAATGTTCTAAAAAACGGCTTAGGCGCTGGGCGGTGATGACCCGAGGCGTTTTCTTGCAAATCGGTTAGAAAAATCGGCTGGGCTTTAAGCAGGCTAGGTGGTTTTTTTTTTTTTTTTTGAAATTAGAAAAAAAAAATCCTATCTACATTACTATATTTCCTTATTTTCCTCCTATTTTGCATTTTATGTGGTTTTAAATTGTGAACTTATTGTATATGTGTCATCGTACAATACTGCTCGCTATAGTTATATGGCATTTATGCTTAATGTGTTTTTAAATTTTAGACTTATTGGATACTCTTTTTGCATTTTATCATTCTTTTATTATCTTATCCATGGATTTCATATAAGTATAATTTTTTATAAGTGTCAATATGCACCTAGCCGTTGAGCGCTAGGCACAAGCCTGCCGCCCGACTAGCGCCTAACGTTTTTTAGAACCTTGACAAAAACAAGTCCAAGATGAATTGAGTTTTTTTTTTTTTTTTTTTTTTTTTTTAACTGAGAATAGATCTTATCAATGCTCTTTAATTTGTTTATTCTCTTAAAAAGTATATAGACTTTTTTTTTTTAAATCCTGTTTTTAATCTGGTACTACGCCAAATGCCTGATTAAATAGTCAGTACGCCCGACTAAATAGTCAGTACTATCGAATGACATATTATCTTATTTTATTAAAATAATCAGTACAGTCTAAACTACCAAACGAAACCTAAGTGCGTGCATTTGGGACGACCACATTTTTAGTCGAAATTATTACAAGGTTTACTTTTCTCAGATTCCACTATGAATTTTTGCATTTTGGACGTTTGACTTTTTGGTCACTGGTTAACTTGACGACATGCCGTACATAATACTTTATAAATTGACATGAAAATCACAGTTTTTCTAGATCATACATTTTAAAGGAAGAGATTCTCATTTTTCAATAAAAAATAAAGACACTTTCTTGATCATTAGATTTGACTTTAATGAAATTATGTGGTTAAGATTAAATCACACGCCACAGAATCTCAATCACATAATTTCAATAAAGTCAAATCTAACGATTAAGAGGATGTTCCCGTTTTTATTGAAAAATAGGAATCCCTTCCCTTAAAGGCTTTCCCTTCTGGATCCCCCAAAAATAATCTTCACAGAATTTCAGCTTCTCCTCAATCGATGCTTCCTACCCAAAACGTAAACTAGTTGCACAATTTTATCTCAATGTTGTAAGGATAGCTTCTAGGCAGTAAAAAAAACAAACGAGTTGCGTATCTACCATGTCATAAATTCAACGGAGAACAACTCATTTCGAAAATCACCTTGTAAAGTTGGAGCAAAATTTAGTTGGCCCTGAGCATTGGTTCCATATGGGGGTCTGGTGCCCCCCCAACTTCAAAGGTTTTAGGCAAACTAAGATGCAATGAACTTATAGCTCAAAGCGATTAAGATTTAAGAGTGTTTATTGTTGCAATCGATGTTCTCTATTCGATTTTATCTCCCACTATCGCTTGAATAAACAATACTAAAAATAAAAGAAAAAAAGGCAGAGGACTGCGAGGTCAATGATGGGACAAAATAACTGTTGCACCATGGATATTCATCGTGCAAGAACAAAATGACCATTAGGCGGGGGAGTTTTGGGCTCGGCCGCTGAACATGATGTGGTGGTCGAGGGATTGGCGTTGGCCACACGTTGTCAGGTACGAATGTTGTACCTGACAACGTGTCTCTCGATAAGGTCTTTTGTCATAAGCACAAATAAAATATCCTCATTGCTCGGGTCAAAAACTGGCGTAACAACAGTACCATCTCTGGACCAATCACTTTAGTTCCAATAACAAATTGGCAGCTCCTCCTTGGATCATGACCGTTTGAACATCTTCTTGTTCGTCGTCCAACTCCCAGACAGAGAGTGTGCGGTTGGACGTGTTGTGCGCACACAGCCACGGACACCCATTCCCGACTGGGTACTCTATCGACTCATCACGTTTACTGAAACAACATTTCTAACGAGCTCTACTGCTTGTAGTAGAGAAGCTAGCACTATCAGTGTTCTCGATCATGAACCGGTCCAACCAATACAACATTATGTTGGCGATGTTGTGGTGGTACTCCGGGCTAAATCCCTATAAAAATGTTACTGAGTGAATAAAAATGTCTACATCTTGAAAAAAGTTTTATTTCAGACTCAATCCAGTACATTTACTACTAATTCCGCGGCAGATCCTATGGCCGACGCCCCACCTCTTTCGAGAAGCGAAATGGCCAGTTCAGATTCATGCCACCCTCTCAATCCGCTGGCCAATTTCCTCAACGTCTCCACCTTCACTTCTCGTATCCACATCGGAGCAAATTTCACCATCAAACCCACCAAACAAGAAACATAAGCTTTCCAAGTAGCTGGATGGCAACCAAGTGATATGTTCCCCTCCAATGATGCTGCCAGAAAGTCCATGTGGATCCCGACCACCCTGGCTCTTCTAGAGTGTGCCCATGACGGCAAGTTGTCTCCGAAGCCCCATTCAATTGAGCCGGACAGAATCACCAGATATGCCATTGCATACCCCTCCATTACACAAGACACAGCATTCACCTCCCCGAGTCTCTCTTCCTTTGATGAGAGTAACCAGTTTGGGATGGTTTCCCGGTACAGTTCTTGAACTAGCTGGACTCCGCCTGCCACGCACAAGAGACTTGCACCAAGTGAGGCCACTTCCTTTATCTTTACAATGGCTAGGCTCTGTGATACCTGACTAGAATTCAAGCGAGGGGAATCCGTGCTTGCACATTTGGTGGCTAATTTCACAGCATACTCTGCTACTATTCCTACAATCACATCACTCACATGTTGGACAACATGTATTGTCCGACAAGAGCACAGGTATAGAAACCCAGGTGCCATGAAAGGATGAGCATTAATATCTGTGACGGTAAAACCCAATAGACCATTCACACCGCTTTGACTGGACAAAGAAGAGGTTGAAACATGGAGCGTGCCAAGAAATGAGGAGAAGCAACTTCTCAGAAGCTGCGCAAGAGCATCTTTGTTTTGTCTAAATATGGCGCGAGAAGTTGCTATAACAATGAAATTATGCCAGCGGCGGACCTTTTGAGCCCACAAACAGCCTACAATAGGCATGGTAGGCCAATCACAACCCGATGGACAGCTGTCCAAGGCCAACCCAGCAACAGCATAGATGTATTCAACGCTCTTCTCAAGTTTGAAAGTAATGGTTAAACTCACAAGAGCAGCCAGTGGAAGTGGGAGTGTTGCAGTTGAAATCTCTGCATGGCAATAAAAGGGTTTTAGTATTGGAAATGCAAGGGATATCCTTCGGTGAGTATGACCTTACATAAGTTGAACCAATCATTATCAATCTCTATGAGCATCTGTGTGTGAGCTATAGCACCATAATAGGATTATCAGAATGAATCCTACTAAGAATATGAAGACAAACGAAGTTTAATTACCAGAGGCACAGCTCGGAACATTGACACCAACAGCCTCGAGTATTTCTTTTATTTCAGACTCAACTGATTGAAGAACCGCTGCTGGACTAGGCCAATCTATTCCATTCATAGGCACTGGTTTCCATATACCATGAGTAACTTCTGCAGAGAAGTAGCTAATTATGGCAGCAAGAGAAGCAGGCAGAAACTCAACGAGGTCTCTCAGGCCTGCAAAAGCATTTAAGGGATCATTAGAAGGAATTTCATCTAAAATTTAAGAAGTAAACTAAACATCCTAATTTCCATAAAGTTACATATCCATCAGCTGTATGAAAGAAGCCGAATTTAGAAACAAAAGCTAAAAGCATTTAATGAGCTTCAACTGACAAGTGCAGTAGCATCCGACTAACCTGTTATCAGGTCCCGAGATGAAAGCCTGCCATGGGTGCAAGCAGTTAACATGGCCTCAAGGACAAAAGGAATGGCTTCCAATACCTCCCAAGCAGTAAGCACTGGTCTCTGACACGCATCCTTTCTAGTATCTGCAGGGGAGCCACTAATACTGGCGCTTGATGGTCCAGAAGAGTTACTTGATGGTGCCCCACTTCTAGTTATTTTCCAGTAAATCATACTTAATATCTTATTAGCAACTTCATGGACAGGATTTCCACTAGAGAGACTGGAAAGTGTTGAAGCTGTACAAGATTTGTGTTGACGGTACCAGGCTTGTAATTTTGGATAAGAATCAATGTACATAGCTTCCACAGATGACGATTCAAGCTGATCCCCACTGCCGTTTGTCTCATTCCGGGCAGGTGCAATGTGGCCATTACGCAATAACAAAAGATACTCCAACGTCAGCACACCTCCAACTGGTCCTCCTCTGTCCGTAATGTATTGCTCAAGAGGTGGTCTATAAAATTTCCAGAGACGAAATAGAAAAAGAAATGCCAAAGAAAAGACCATGTAAATGGAGGACTCGTCACCCATGCTTGATTTACGTGATCCAAAGACCTCACAAAGCGGAATTAAAGAAGCTGCAACTTCAGGGACCTGTATGAATAGAGATTTTTTGGAGCCATAAAAACGTCAGAACTTCAACTTCATATGACTTACTTGAAATCAAATACAAATAACGGCTTTACGAGAAGAAACACATGCCAAGTTTAAGTAATTCTATGATATCAATATACAAACCATGAAACTATTTCACTCACCTTACCATGCAAAGAAAGGATGTGAACTGTATCAATATAGGAAGCTCCGAAAAGGAGGGCACTCAGCATTGACATATAATCAATTAAGTGACTTCTTGGTCCAGTATGATTCGGAGGTACAGGAGGAGAAAGAAGCTTCACCACGAAGCGCACAACATGTTCCTGAAAGCGGCAAAGTTCAAGGATCCAAACGTAATTCTCTTAATAATAATTTTCTTAAAAGCCAAACCATTGTCAAATTTGAAGAACGACATGAGTTAAAAGGCACCATTAGGCTCTTTGAGAAAAATAGGACTTGAAAAATAGTCAAATGTAAAATCTCCAGCATTACTGCATGAATTTTCAACCTGAATGTTCCATCCACTTCTGAGAGATGCACCACACAGAATTTTTGCAGCGGCTGACTTCTCCTCATCAGACCCATTTAGTGCAATATGATATAACTTCTCTATCTCTTCTAAACTTGAACAGGAGAAAGAGAAGAAAATAATCAGCTAAAGATCAGCTCGTATTATACTAATTTCAGATGTTTTTCATTTTACCTTGAAGCTGGTGTCGTGATAAGGGAGTTTATTAGGGAATCCCTCAGTGGTTCTCCTTCCATGAATGTTGACCAAGGGAATTTTTGAATTGGTGTTGTGTTTGATGGTGACATCGTGGACGCAGACACATAACCGGGCCAAAAATATGCTGATGTGTCAATTAAATTTCTTGCAATGCAAGCTTCCACAATAAGATGCCTCATGTCACCACCTGAAAAACATGGGAGGCAATGGCAAAATTATTACCGGAACCAAATTCAGAGACAGTAGAGGGATGCATGTTTACACTTTTTCTGTAATATGAGATCCACGCCTAAAACAAACATCCATTAATCATGATCAAATCAAAATGAGTGGTGAGACAGATTTCTAAAATAAACCTGCTTTGATACAGACGTCACCACCACTGCCTCCTGTTGTATCCTTTTCATTCTTGGAGTTACGTACAAAATGAGCTGATTTTGTTGCTGCAATATTCGCTGAATCAACCACTGATGAAGGAGGGCACAAGAGGCCAGAGAAGTTTCCAAGGGCCTGGAGAGAAGAAATCAGGCCCTGTTTCTTTGACGTATTAGCTTTACCACCCATTTTGTGTCCATATCCATTCTCCGTATTCCCAGATACAGTATCTCCCTGAATAGAAGAGGAATTCATTTTGGTCTCATCCTTCAAAATGTTAGCAATGGCCAAGGGGACAATAGACAGAAGAATACAAAGACGGGACTCAAGATGTGGTACAGGGCCTTCAACAGGGTCACGTTCCTGCAAAAGAAGAATGAAGGAGAAATTAAGTATCTATGCTAGTTTTTTTCCTTTCTAAATATATGCTGACATGGAGTAGTCTCAACTCGTTGCACAAGTCGAAGGGCTGAGAGCCAGAGTGCTAGGAAGGTTTCTTGCCAGCTTGCCTGGTTAAATACTTGCAGCGTCGTGATTCCTTCTGCGCTGGGTCAGTGAAATTAGGAATTAATTGAATTTCTTGCAGTTTTCTTTTCTTTATTCACTCGGAACTAAAGTCAGACATGCAGGCATGCATACATATAAATTCATTTGAGACTCTTCAAAAGGACTTTACCTGCAAGTATATCAATAACTGATTTAATAGAAAGTTGCTTCCCATCCATTGCATTTTCCATGTATATATCGAAACGGACCCAACAAGTGGAATGACCAAATCCTGAGTTGCAGTGGAATACCGGCTTCTGAGATCCATTATCAAGAAGCACCCCAATGAGCTGGTGCTTATTTAACTGGTATTTAAAACCCGAGACTCTTTGGATGTTGGCAGACAATCTTGCCAACGGTTCCACTGCAGACCTGAAATCTGACGATGCACGATGATGTCCTTCGAGAAATCCTAGCCTCTGCAGGAGGCCATTGAATATTTCAGGCCTATGAATAGATGTGGATTAGACAAAAAAAAGTTAATATTAGTCTCTCGACTATCAACATGTATCCTTTTTCATATGTATGTTTTTGGTTCACTGACACGGCAATGTAAGAAAATTATTAAACAGTGTGAGTTGTCAATATTGCATGGTTGGATTCTGACAGCATCCGCAAACTGAAGGTGAGAAATATTATGAATGAGAGGCTTACATATTCAAGTGAACAAGTCGAAGCAGAACCAAAGCTTTTCTGCTTTCAGTTAGTTTCGCCAGCACCTCTATGGCCAAAAAAGAATTCATTTTCCTTATCCGTTCACGATTTTCTTCAACTTTGAGATTCTGACTTTCTCTGGAATCAATTTCCATATTTCTGTAGTCTGCACCTCCGAAATCTGATCTCGGCCTCTTTCGGGAAGTCATTTTGAATCCCCAATCATCCAACGTGCTGTCAATCAAGCTACTGATTACACTGAAAAAGAACAAGACCAAGGCATGTCCAAGCTCCACAACATGAACCTTATAAGTCTGAGAAAGCTCAAGGGCAACATCAATGGATTCCGTTATCCTGAAGGACAGAAGAATGAAAATTTCAGCAGTTCATTTAATTGATTGAGTGCAAAAACCATGCTAACAATGTCGGTATTCCTTTTCCCAAACATTTTCACTTGTGCTAACGAAACCAAACTAAACCATCTAAACCAAATTAAACCATCTAAACCAAGACAGAAAATTTTCACTTAGTTTCGAAAATGCATAGAGATTAAACCATCTAACCAACCAAGATGCAAACTTTCCACCAAAATTAAACCATCTAAACCACAATGGCATTATGCAAACAGAAAATTAATCAAAATAGAGCATAATATAAGCTTGGCACACTCACTTTTCTTTGGAAACATCACCAGAAAGTGGACCACATGAAAATGCATATCTCCTTAGGAGTTCAAGATAAAGTCTATAAGCTTCTGGTTGCGACCATCTATGAGGAATCACCCTGCAACATAAAAGCACACAAAAACAAGCAATCAAACAAAACCATGATAACAACGTCAATGTGCTAATCGGGTAGCGAATTTCACCCCATTTAGCCATATGCGCTCCAAATTGAATATTTTATAATCTTTTCTGCACTCGAATGCGGCTAAAAGATGAGTGTCAAAATCGCTAGACGAAACTAATAAAAAAAGGAGCGAGTGGGGGAAGTGATGAGCGTGACCGATCCGGCAAAACAACTCAACAGATAAAGAAGTATCCTTAATTTCTTCATGCTCGTTCCAAGTTCGAATTACCATTTTGTGCAAATAAGAATCCCCTTCTTTACATGATTTCTTCTTCATATCGATAGATATAGGATCTATGGAGCAATTACTTTGAAGTACATTTTGTGAGTACCTGGAAGACAGCATGGAGAGGATATGGAGAGGGGAGAGGAGGCCGGAGGAGAGAGCAATGTCAAGAAACTTCCAAAGGGATGGTCGGTTGTGTTGGAAGCAGAGTTGGGAAACCAACACTTCCCCCAACTCAATGCTCGGAGCTGCCTCAACCCATTTCCCCACTTCCACCGCCCACTCCACCGGGCTCTCCGTCTCCCTCCGCTTCCCCGCCGTCACCAGCTCCGCCACCCGACGCTGCAATTCACTCCCCATTCCAAATTCCAGTAGACCCCACCAGCAAAGTTCCTCCCTTTTCTATCCAATTCATATTGTTTTGGATTTTCTCAAATTTATAGTTAAAAATTCCCAGCCGCTCACGCAACACAAATAATAATAAAATATTGGTATTTACAATTTTGTGTGCAAAGATGTAGGAGCACCTACCTCGTCCACGCCCTAATCAAACTAAAACTCTCTCCACGTATGAGAAAAGCTTCTACAACTTTCGGCACCGCTGAGTCGTGAGCAAATACCTCACTTACCCCAAGCCAGCGGAAGATTTGGTGCTATTGACCAATCTCTTCAACGACCAGGCGCTGCCGCTGCCCCTTTGAATTCATAGAGTCCTCCTCCCAACTCTTCGTTAAAAGCACGTTAGCTTGACTGTTGAAACGTTTAGAGAGTAAGGGTCAAAATGACACAGCAATCCGGAGCAGACAATTCTCGTTCCAACGTCATAAAATATTTGAGAGCGTTCATCGATTAGTTGGGTCTATATGCTAATATCTTCAACAAAAACTCTCTATTTTAACATACATTAGTGTCTTTGTTATTTACAAATTTATTTTCTTTTAGATTTGATTATAATTTATCCATCATTTTATTTTAAGAAAATTAATGAAAATAATCTGACTTTGAGTTTTAACGATAAAGATAAAAAAAAAAAAAGTGAAAATGAATAGTATTATAATTAACTTTTTTTAGTATAAAAATATAATTTTTCGTTAAAATAAACAGTATCGAGAGCTTTTCGTTAAAATTCCTTTTTATTTTCCTTCTGGACTCTTTCATCTCTTTGTCATCGCTGAAGCAATTCTTTTACTCTCTCCATCTTTTTTCTCTAGAAGCAATTCTTATACTCTTATCTTCTCCATTTTGTCTCCACCCAGTTTCTCTAAAAGCAAGTCTTTTGCTCTCTCTCCACTCCATTTTTTTCTCCCCCATCTTTCTCTAGAAGCAATTTTTTACTCTCTCCACTCCATTGTTTTCTCCACCCAATCCTTCAAGACTCTCACTTGTCTCTCTCTGAAAGTACAGATGGTAAATCGATCTATTATGTTGTTAATGGATATCAATTAAGACGGTTTAATATGATATTACTATAATATAACATAAATGTGAGATTGATAATGATGATGATTGTGTAAGGTGAAATCAAACTAAATCAATCTTAATATGTGTTTATTAACAACACAATATGTTGATTTGTCATCTCTATTAAAAACAATTCTTTTACTTTTTCTCCTTGCCATTTGTTCTCTGCCCAATCTCATCTCAGCTCTCCCTTATCTTCTCCGTCAAATCTTATCACCTCTGCTCTACATCTGCTTTCGTAATCCTCTTTTTTCGTCAATTATTCGTCTCTAGGGCTAAAATTCAATTACTGAATAGGTGGTGCAGTGCAACGGGCACACAGACGCGAGCAGAACAAATAGAAAGGGTCGATAGGAAAGAAGCAAAAGTCAGTTTTAATAGTATTTTCAGTTTTACTTCTATTATTTAACGTCATATGTCGTTGTATCATCGACATAGACGTCAGACTAAGTTGTATACCATTAAATTTGCTATACAACGCATCATTTGATTCAAATTTCAAGCCCAAATGCCAATGAATCAAATCATTTCTTACAAATCTACTTCCAGAAAGACTTTTACAGTACAAATGCAGCACAACGGTTATATTTTATTTGATTTTTATTACAAATGATCTTCGAAATTGTCTCACTCTATCACGATGATTTTTGAAATTAAAAATTAATCAAAGTTGTCCTTAAAAATGGATGTCGCAAATCAATTTAGTCATTCCGTTACAATAATGTTCTATTAAAAATTCTGTTATATGATGACAATCATGACATAGCATATAAATAAGTCTCACAAGTCTAATTAAATATTACCATGTGGATTAAAAATATTTAAATAATTAAAATTTTATTTTTTGTATTATTAAAAACTTTTAAAAAAAGAAAGGAGAAAAAAAAAAAAAAAAAAAAAAAAAAAAAAAGGAGATGTGTTCATTTTCTTCTCTCCCAACCGAACACAACCACGCCCAAATCCCTTCTCATTGAATTAATTTCTCAATTAATGGGGAAAGAAAGGAGAGAAGTAACAGCAGGTAAAGGGACCGAAGGAGGTGGTGATTGCACCGTGGGTGCAGGGGGTGAGTTATCAGCTGGTGGAGGACCATATTTGGAACCAGATGGAGGAGGTGTGACTATGGGGGATAGAGGAGATTATTCTGGTGCTTCTCCTTATGGTGCTAGTGGAGAATCGGACGAAGGGGAGAGGACATCAGCTGGAGGAGATGGGGACTCCGTGGATTGAGGTGGCGGTGAGGCTTCTGCTGGAGGTGTTGGGGAAGATTAGGGAGGGGCAAAATCTTTTGATGGATGTGGTGGGGAAGCATCTGGTGGGGGTTCTGACGTAGCCGGAGGAGAGGCAGCTGGTGTAGAAGGTGGTGGCGATGCTGCAGGAGGTAATGACGGGAGTGGAGAAGCAGTAGCTAATTTTTTTGGCTTATTATATCAATTCCATCACCAAACTTTTCAAAGTTGTTGATGCATTGGCAATTAAAATTGTGAGCAGGAATTAGTGCAGATGTGATTGTGTTCAGGTGGAAGGAGGACCAGGAGATGTGTTCTTTTTTTTTCTTTCCTTTTTTAAGTATTTAATTATACAAAAGATAAAAATTCTTTTTAATTATTTAAATATTTTTAATCCACGTGACAATATTTAATTAAAGTTATGGAATCTAGTTATATGTCATGTCATCACATAACATAATTTTTAACGGAATTGTAACGGAAGGATTATATTGATTTGCAACGTCCATTTTCAAGAATAATATTGATTGATTTTCAATTTTATGGACCATCTTGATGGGTGGGTCAATTTCATGGACCATTTGCGATAAAAATCCTATTTTATTTAAACTACTTATAACTTTCTTTGTCAATTAAAAAAGGGCAAAGAGATAATTTGATCTTTTATTACACAATAAATCATGAGTAGTAATGTAATTTCGCATATATTAAATTTTGTTGTTGTTTTTTTTTTTCGATTCTTCACCTACATGTGGTAGAAAACAATTATGCACATACACCGTGGTGTGTGTTTGAGCTCTACTAAAACCCCTTCTCCCTAACAACTAACAATTTAACTTATTAACTATCGTTTGTAAAGAAAAATCTAAACTATATATTAATAGAACCCTCTTTGTCAACCAAAAGAGGGTGAAAAATTAATTAGTCTTCTATCACAACTAAAAAGTTAAGGAAATAACGTATGGTGAGTCCCCTTGGCATCGCGCCATGATGGTGGGTCCCTTGACCCCGCATGTAGGGTGAGTCCCCTTGACTCTACGTGGTTGTCTATATGTAAATCTCTCATGTGTGACCCACTAATTGGGTCTCACATGAAGGGGTGTTGAAATGTTTCATATTAACCGTATCAATGAGATGTCCCACATCGACCGTATCAATGAGAAAAGAAGAGTTTAAATATCTTAACCTCATTCCAACTAACACCTTTGTGATAAAACCTCACACCTGATGGATTATGCAGGTGGTAATTACCAAGTTGAGAACAATATCGATGTTGTTAAAAGTGGACATTTGGCCCATCTCTCTGATAATTTTACAATTAAGACGTACATTTATATTATACTTGTACTATAAAAGTTGTCACCTTATCAAATTTCAAGCCCAATTGCCAATTCAATAAAAAAGATTCTTACCAATTCTCTCTTTTGCTTGTCGAATAAAATGAACCCACCAGGCGGTACAACCTACCGCCTCCAAAGCTTCGACCTTCCCTCAATAAAGATTTTGCCTTTAGAGCAACTCCAGCGTTGCAAATGCCCCTTAAGGTAAGTCACTATTGAATAGCCTCTAATGAACAATAACTACCTTTTGCATCTACACCTCTACACTGAATAGCCATGACAATAAGCAATAAAATATTAATATTTTTTTTATATAAAATAATACAAAATAATTTTATTTGTAATTTCGGATAAGATTTTCAATCGTTCTCGTTGCGTCACCTGTCATTATCCAATAAGATAATTTTTTATGATAGATTTTGATAAGATATTTATCCAATGCCCTCGTGCCACGTGTCGTTAGCTTTTCAGAATCATTAAGGATAAGTTTCCGATAAGATTTTTAACCAATCACGTCGCTTCACATGTCACAATCTGAAAACAACCTTTAAGGATGGATTTCGATCAAATTTTTAACGAATGATGGCATGTCACGTGACATTATCTACAACCTAATCCTTTCTTTTTCCTTCATATAACCCATCATCCCAAACCAAAAATCACACACCAAAATCAAATCTATATCATTATTCATAGTTTCTGCTTCATTCTTCACCAAAATCAAAATTTCTGTCGTTATTCATAGTTTCTGCTTCCTTCTTACAATGTTTTCTTCTTTAGGATGTTGTGGGAAATTGAGGAACAAGAGAAAGAATTGTTTAAGCAAGGGAAAGAAATATTCAATCTCTAGGTGGCCCAAAATAAGATGGAAGACGAAAAGGATGAGGAGCGTAGAAGGAGAGATGACGAAGCAAGAAGCCAAAGCGCCTCACATTCTCATTAAGTCATCCAAGTTATGGCTCAGATCTGCAGGTCCAGTCGTTCCACAAACCTTGATTGAAGTAGGCAACGATGAGGTACATATCTCTTGGACGATTATTTTGTCCGTAACAGTGTATTTCCTGATACGTACTTTAGACATCGTTTTGTAATAGAACGACATTTGTTCAATAAAATCACGATTGCTGTTTGCAACCATGATTCTTACTTTGTGCAAAAGAATGATGTTTTTGGTGTTATGGTTCTCCTTCCTGAGCAAAAAATTACTGCTGTCTTGTGGATGCTTGCATATAGAGCATCTGCAGACCAAGTGGATGAGATAGCGAGGATAGGGAAATCAACCATTTTTGAGTCCCTAATGAGGTTTTGCTCCACAATCGAATATATCTACACCGCAGGGTACCTCCGTAAACCTACTGAGATGGATTTGCAAAGGCTTCTGAAGAAGGCCAAGATGCGAGGTTTTTCTGGGATGATTGGAAACATCGACTGTATGCACTAGACATGGAAAATTTGTCCAAGTGCATGGCAAGGAGCTTATGCGGACAAAAAATGAGCAAAAAGTATCATTTTGGAGGCAGTGGCATCATTTGATACATGGATTTGACAAGCTTTTTTCGATGTTCCAGGGGCTCAAAATGACTTCAATGTCCTTGCCCAATCCCTAATGTTCAACGATGTCCTGCAAGGAAAAACACCAAAAGTCACGTACTCGGTCAATAGACATAAGTACCACGGGCCATACTACCTAGCAGACGACATTTACCCAAGGTGGTCATCGTTTGTCAAAATAATGCCACATCTGTGAAGTGCAAAGGAAAAACACTTTGCAAGCTGTCAAGATGGGTGTATGAAGAATGTGGAGCGTTGTTTTGGTATCCTCTAAGCTCGTTGGGTGATTGTCAGA